TCTTCTCTTAGTCACCACACTCAACGGATTTTTCTGGGATTTAGCCCGTTGAAGAGCTACCCCTTTCTTGGATGAATAGAGGTGTAAACAAAGAAAATTTGCCGTTGTTTGGGTCCTTCCAACCAATCTTGAGAGGATTGACTGGGAGGTCCCTCAGGCTTTTATTGCCTGCTAGCCGCTGAACCTTCCGATCTGAATGAGGGGTCGGTGATTGGGTTTGTGGTTGGACTTTGGTCTGTACTTGCTGATCCTGTTCCACAATCACTACTTCGTTAAGGTCAGATACTGCAGTGACTTCCTTGATTCCTTGGAAGGAAAGCAAGTGGGTGAAGGTAGTGGTAGGGGTCTCCTGCCATTCCTCCACCTCGTGTGCCCCACCTGAGGTGGGGCCCAAATATTTCCAGATTACTGGATCTGCTGAACTGTTTGGTGCAAGCAGCCATGTGTTTGGAGCCAGTTCCTGTGGGTTACTCAGTATGTGCAGCCAGTGAGGAGGGACCGCCTGTTGTAGCTCCACTAGGTGGTCTGAAACTCTCCGGAGTTTCCCTAGTGGTAGTTCAGATTCTGTTTTCCATCAAAGTCTGTGACTGTTCCATATGTCTCCTACTTTTGACACCCCTTTCTCTATCCAAGCTTTACCTTGATTGCCTGTTGAGTCGTGGGCTGAGAATTGAAAACCGTCTCTCTGTAGAAGGAGGGGGGGTTCAAATAGAGGCTGGTTACATACTTGGTGCACTGTAGTCGGTGGTTCAGTGGTCCGTGGGAACAGTTTGGACCAAGCTGTCAGGATATCACGCCAGAAGTTGGATTTAGGTCTTTTATTACTGTAGGATTCGGTGAAGAGGCAGATCCAGACTTCTGAAGGGCGGCTTAGTTTCCATTCTTGGCTGAGTATATGTTCTGCTAACTGTACCCAGGCTGTTTCTTCCCCTGCCAAAATGGCTTTTACTGGCCATTTTGCAAGGAGAGCGATGTTTTGCTGCTTGGGGTCTAGGACCCCTAAACCACCTTGCTTTGGGGGGAAGGCAATAGTTTCCCATGCGATCTTGGACAGGAATCCTTCTTGTTCTTTCGCTTCCGGTTTCCAGATGAACCTAGCGCCTGCCTTTCTGATGGACTTGTAGGCCTTGTCCCATAGCAGGTGGACTGCTAAGGGGTACCATAGAATGGAGAAGGCCGATGAGGTTAGAACCATTGCTCGGCCTAGAAGAGATAGATGTCTAGTGTAGTCCCATTTCATGATCCGTTGGCAGACGCGCTCCTCCAGCAGTTGGTCTTGCAATTCAGCATTCTCTGACAAAGATACTTGGATTCCCAGATAACGATCTGAAGAGTTAGAGGGAACTCTTTTCATACCCCAATTCACCCCTAATTCAAACTGATCCAGCAAGAAATACACAGATTTATTCCAATTAATGGAGGCTTCAGATAGTATAGTGTATGTATTAAGGGTACGGCGTAGATTAGAGACGGAGGATTTATTATTGAGACAGGCTACTGTTAGATCATCAGCAAGTGCTCCGCCTTTCCATTGTTTGTTGTTAAGGATTCTCAAGCCGGTGATGTTATCATTGTGTCTGATGTTGTCCAGCAGCACTTCCATGTGAATTACAAAGAGGAGGGGGGCCAAGGGGCAACCTTGTCTCAGAGATCGACGACCATTGACCATCACCATTGCGCATGAGGAGGAGTACATTACATTAACCCATCTGATAAAATTCTCCCCGAAACCCATGTGGGACAGGGTGGTGCCGACAAAGGCCCATCCTACTTTATCATATGCTTTCTCCATGTCTAGAAGCAGCAAGGCCACATTTCTCTTCCCATTAGCTATTATCTCTAGGGCTTGGATTGTGGAGGCGATGTTGTCCATAATTGATCTGTGCTTAACAAAGGCGCCTTGGTCTGGGTTGATGATGGTGGGGAGGTACTTAGCTAAACGCAATGCAATGGCGTTGGCCAGGATCTTATATGAGACATTGAGCAAGGAGATGGGACGCCAATTGCGTATATCAGTTTTATYGCCCTTMTTGTATARAAGTGTGATTACGCCTTGTTGCATGCCTTTCGTGAGTGTGCCGCCCATCAGTACATTGTTGTAGATTTCCGTGAGGGCAGGGCCTAGTTGATCCCAGAGTAGCAAGTATACTTCCACCGGTAACCCATCGAGTCTAGGGCATTTGCCTAACGCCATTTGTTTAGCTGCATGGAGTAACTCTTCCGGTGTAAAGGGTCTGTCTAGGTTAAGGCGGCCCTCTATTGGTAGTTTGGCACTTGTCTTTTCCCAGAAGTGTGATGTATTTCTGAGGTCGGTCAGGAAGGATTCCTGAGGTCGCCTSGTCATAAGAATATCTTGAAAGCAGGCCAAGGCATGTTCGCACATGCCGGGGGTATCTGATCTCGGTTCAATTTCCTGGTCGAAGGGGTGTGATAATTCCCTGATTAGTGGCTTGKTTTTTTGTAGTAATAGTCTTCTGAAGGTGTCCCGGTTAAGTCTGTCATTAGTGATGATGCCTTTTTGTTGCAGTCATTCTTTCCATTGTTCTTGCTATTGGACTTGCAGTGTGTCTAGTACGGATAGCRYTTTTTTCCTCTGGTGTGTCCAGTAGGCATCAGAGATGGGGTTCCTTCCAAAGTTTCCTTCTSCCTCTTTAACCCTGTCCAGTGTCTACCCATTTCTGTTCCAATTGGTGTTTCTTGGTAGCTTTGATTCTTGAGAAAACATCAAGTGAATTTTTCAGTATGTTGATGCCTGTCTCCACCCAGTTTTCTAGAGAGGAGAAATATTGTTTGGCTTGGTGCCATCTCTCCAGGTGTTTTTGAGCCYATGCTACTATGTTCTTGTCTTTGAGGTGATTTGTGTTGAGCCTGATGGTGGCATAGCCACGTGAAGCGAGTCATCAAGATCGAAGGAGGCTGAGAGAGGGTTGTGGTATGAGATTTAGATACCCCTACCTYGATCCGTAGACATCTATCCCATGGGAGACCTCTTATCAGGAAAAAGTCCAGGCGGCGGCACACTGGTGGAGTTTGGGAACCGTGACGCGTAAAAATTTGTGTGTCTGGGTGAAAGAGTCTAAAAACATTTATAAGATTATAGGATTTCATCAAGGATTGGAGGATACGGCTGTCCGCGCGTATTGGTTCGGGGTTTGGGGAGTCTAAGCCGGGGTTCAGTGTTGTGTTCCAATCTGCAGCAATGACCAGGTTAGTGGAATCTGGCATGAATGAAGGCAATTCTGCTAGGAATTCAAGCCTTTCGTTATAGATGACTGGGAAATAGATGGACATAACTGTCCATTCCTCGTTGTTTAGCTCAAATTTGACCCATACCCATCGACCCCAAATGCACACATCCAGTCGATGACGGCAATATCCAGGTCTCTGTGAAATAAGATGCCTGTCCCCCCTCTCGTTCCCTGCGCAGGGGACCAGTATTGAGGACCTCTCCACCAATTTCTTGYTGCCACTATTCGTTCCTCATTTAGTTTAGTTTCTTRTAGGCACATTATGTGAATTTTATTCTTATGCATCCATGACTTGAGGCGTTCCCGCTTTCTTCTCTTTCCTATATCACATAGTCCGCACACATTCCAGCAACCAATGTTCAACTTATTTTTAGGAGGCATTTACWGGCATTTACTGCCTCTCCTCCACCGGTTGAGCGCTGGATCCGGTTCGTTTTATGTTTGGATTTYTGTGAATTTTCTGTTTTTCTGTGGTCTGCTRGTCTGGCCACAGAGTCTTCAGGTAAGWATGGAATGTGRGAGCAAGAATAGTTTTCCGTTGTACTGTTGTTGCCAGCCATCTGGCAACTGCTGATGCCGATGCTTTTCCTTGTACGTGTATCATCTTCGGCTCTACAGAYTCGGGTTGCCTAAGTATGTGAGTGGGGYTTAGGAGAATCCTGMTTGATCGAGTGTTGCAACTTTAGCTRGGTCAATCTTGCCTTCCAGAAATGCTATGTAGAGGCGTAAGTTTTGTCCCGTAGTCATTTCCACCGGTTGGACCCCCACCCGCAGTGAGGGGATCATCCGGGTSCTCAGACTATCTTGGACGATCTCGTTTACCTTTTTTAGTATTAGGGATTCTGTAGGAGCTACATTTGGGTCCAACTCCGAGGAGGGAATGGTGGTKTTCCCATTGGAGTCTTTCCTGGTCAAGAATACCGCGTGATCCTGACCTGCGGCACAAATRAGTGGTACCAAAATTCTGGGACATGTAGCGTCCGCCTTTGTTAGTGTATGAATAGGGCGTGCAGTCGCCAAGTCCCTGGAGCTGGCGTGAGCTTTCCCCTTCTGTTTGTTTCCACTCTCTGTAGAACTCCCACTGGATTGCGAACCTTGCTCTTTGTTTGAACTCCTCGTTGGTATTGTTTCTGAGAACTATTGTCCATCAACCAAGCGCGGGAGCGTTTGAGGGGGGAAGGGTCCCTACTGTGGGACCCCCCAAGGTAGGAAGATCGTCCCTTCTCCCCTGTTGCGTCCGCGTCTGCCGAGTCTTTGTTAAATCTGTTCTTTGGGCTTGTGTCTTTTACCCCTGCTGAGTCATTCCCATTTGATGAGCGCATTGATGAATCTGATGAGGAGTATATTGAACCGCGGGAGTGGTTTATTTTATTCYCCTCTATGGCTGATTTGTTGGATCCTGCTTTTTTCTCCTTTGCGTTTGATGTTGATGCTTTATTGTTCTTATTGTCCCCTGGATCTCGGTTCGGTTTCTCTGGTTTCTCTTTGCCTGAGGCTTCTGTGCTGTGTGACAGTCCCTTGGCTTTCTTCTCAGATTTGGAGGGTTTTTTTATTTCTTGAGACTTTGTCTTTGTTCTTRGTTGGAATCGATTCCAACCGCTGGCCGGAGGGATCTCACCACTAGGTACAAAGCCTGAGAAAGGGGGGAGGGGGAGAGGAGGTTTGGAGTTCAGGTCATCAAAGGGATCGTGTTCCTTCATAGGACAGCAGGGGTCATTTTCTGCGTGGTAGTGCATCTTGCACAGTTTGCACCATGGCGTTGCAGCAGAGATGACTTCCACGTCGTAGTCACCTTTCCTTGGGATGCCAACAATTAGACGGGGCTTGATTCTCAGCTTTGCCGCGGGTTCTASATCCAGGCGAATTGCGCCCAGTTCAGGTTCGTCTTCGTACTCCTTAAATGGATGGACTTTGAAAACCTGGCCAAAGTTCTTTTCCACTGCAATCTTTACCGCAGCCATCARTTGCAGTGGGACATTCGGGCAGCGAATCCAGAAAAAACTATCTTTTCCGGATTCCTTATAGGCTTTCATCTCTGCAAGGTYTTTCCAAGGTTGGAAGGAGACTCTGCAGGTGATGTCTCCCAAATCAATCTCATCATTTCGTTGTTGTAGCATCCATTGTGCAATGTCTCGTGTGCTGGCCACGTAGGTGGCCAGGTTCTTGCCTTGGTTTTGGTATCTACCCCGTTTGGTGTTCGGATCGATGTCACCAGAATCGTACCACGAGTTTTCATACACACGGATGAGCTGTTTCTTCAGATCGTTCGATAAGTTTCTTGCCCCCCCATGGAAAGTGATCGTCACAGCATGATTTCTCAACCACTCAGTTTGTTGATCTGAGAAGTCTTCGTCCATATCCAGTCTGGCAAAGTCTTCCCCGATTTCTGGTCTGCCAATGCAGAGACCTGTCGGTAAGATGTCGTCGTGAAAACAGGCATCCAGCAACTCATTGATGTACTGTTTCTCCTCTTTGGTGTAGTTTCGTTTCTGGGCACCTTGAATCGGATCCTGTCCCCTCAGGTTGGGGAGGTCTGGTTCCATGGTCCGATTTGATGGGAACGATGGTGAGGCGGTCACTGAGCAGATTGTAGTGTGGGGGGGGGGGGGTTATTTAGCGATTATAAGTGCTTGTAAGTGCCTCCTGATCTGACAAGGATCGAAGGTCGAGACGGTGAGTGGAGGGTAACAGGTTACACGCGTAATCGGTTTCACGTGTCTGGTGGGGGGGGAAAGAACAGGTGTAGACAAGGCGGATACTGTAGGAGTAGAGTCAAGAGACCTTTTAGGGGGGAGGRTCACTCGGTCGGGGGTTCGGARTCGAAATCGAGGTCGAAATCAAAACSGAAGTCGAAATCGAATTCGAAGGCSAAGGCGAAGTCGACGTCGAAGTCGGCGTCAAACGATCCGGAGTTTTTCATTTTATTGTATTCCGACCAAATTAACGCGTGATTTCTCCCGTCGCTGACAACAAAATAGTATTGCGGCACAAAAGGGCCCTGAGTTAGGCTGTCGTGGATGTTAAAATCATAAGTTGGTCGACGGGCGAATTGTTTCCCACTGGGGAAATCGGGCGAGATGTGGCAGGGAACCACTGCGAGGGGATTTGAAAGTATCTGAATTTCTATCGGCTTGGTGTGGGGGTGTGTGTGACGGGGGGGGGGAGTGTACCAGACACAGATTGTAGTGTGGTAGTTTGGTTTCGTCGGGGGGGGGGGGGGGGTCTCGAGGGCGTGTGGGGGGGTGGGGGTGTGGGGGTCGGGTGCAGATTGGATCAACACCGGTGTGGAGGGGAGAATCGAGGGTAGCCGAACCGAGGCCGGGGGGGGGTGATAACGAGGTAATGTATACACGGCGAATGGGTGAGTTGAGACGAAGGTGCGATGAGGCGTTGTGAAAGTACTGAGGGGGTATTCGGAAAATGCGGGAGATGGAGAAAAGAGGTGATTTTGTGATAGACGCGGGTCTTCGAATTATAGAACGAGAACGTTATTGGTCTCRTAGGTAGGTGGCAATGTGGTGAYGGGGACAGTGCGGGTCAGTGGTAGGAAAAATAGATTCTTTAGACAGTGCTGTTGGTATGGTCGTATTGGACGGACATGGCCAATTCAAAGTAGTGATAAATACGCAATAATAGAATAAGCAATAATCGAATAATCATTAAACGAATGTAATAACCATAGTAGCAATAATAACAAGAAACCGAAATAATATAGGAATAGYACACCCCGTTGTGCRAACTTCAAAACACCAAATGACAATATCAAGGAAAATAAATAAGCAGTAATCGAATAAACAGTAAATGATTGTAATAACAYGAGTAGCAATAATAACAAGAGTTAATAAAGCGAGTAGCAAGGATGATAGACTACTACTACGGTAACGTTAGTAGTATTTCAGATACTAACGTTAGTAAAAAGGCTGYCAAATAGGGCAGTATAATAATAATAATAACGAATGGAAATAATAGCAATCGTGGTAACAACAATGGGTTGATATTTAAGCCTCCATAATTGAGATAAACCAGAAAAGGGGATCTTGCTGGGTAGTTTGGTCAGGGTATGGGGTAAGGTTATCAGGGAGTGATGTTACCTCTGTATTGAACGAATGAATCTTCCCAGGCTCTGYAGATTGTATCGAGTCAGGGTCGTTGGATSGATCCATTCGACTGTGACTCCTCGGTGGGGCCGAAAGTTTCCCGYGGATGGATTGTAATGCGGTACCGGGGTAGGTTCGTGAAAGACTGCCCTGGGTAGACCGCGATGTGGAAAGATGTTCCGAGCAATACGCTCGGTGGTTTGAGGGTAGCGAGGAAAATTCGTATATTAAGTAGTAGTTGAAAGGAATCCTCAACTTGAGTGACGTATGAGTGGAAGGGTTGAGTTTCCCTGATGGTGTTGAAGAATCAGGGGTTGTGGTGGAGAAGTTGGTGACATCATGATAATAAAGCTCACATCATCTTCTTCGTATTCTGTGTATTTTCTTCGTATTGTGATGACACACAGCCTCAGGGTCGACCTTGYCGTGGCTTGGGAACGAACCTGAGGCGCCGGAACTTGCGCGTGAGATTGTTTTCACTCGTGAGTTTTGTGCGATTGAGTGTTCTATTATTTCTTGAATATTATATTTTATCATTGYTTGAATATTATATTATTTCTTTTTCAGTCTTYATCATCTATGATTTATGCTCGTATGTTTCAATTTTATGGCGTATGCTRTAGCATTCTTTAATAGCCGATTAATTTCTCCCTGCTTACGGTGAGGGGTTGGTTCGTCGATTCCTCCGTAAGATTACGCTGCACCAAGTTACCGCGCGAGGTCGGTACTGCAGACGGAGCGCATATCGTTGTGCTGATGTAAGAGTTGAAGGAAGGAGGGTGCCGGCAACTTGGATGYCGGGAGGAAAGCGACRGCCGACGTACGAGCGGTGTTAGGATTGACGTGTATGTGCGAGATATGCGGCCGAGCTATGGTCCGACGCGATCCTTATAACGGCGTCGCTGTAGGATCGGAGGAGGTATCGTCGTAATTYYGTMTGTCCACTATTAAGCTCACTCTCCTGACGACAGGCGCCATTGTGTTGTTGCGTATCGCGGTGCGCAGGCTTGTAGGTGGCAAGCGCACTGTGATGCTTGACATTGTGATACGCGTGGCCGTGGAAGCTGTTCTTGCATGCTGGGCATGCTGAGGGCATCGAGCTGGGTCATTGAAACCAAGAAGAAGGAGCGGACGGTTGCTTGGAGCATTGGGGTAGGAGGGATCATACTCTTGTTATCCCTATTAGGACCCATGTACGGCCGCAATAGGAGCGGGCGAGGTGCGTCGCGGAAGGGGCGTTGGTCGAATTATGGACGTTATTGGTCCAATATGAGTGGGAGTGGCGGTCAGAATGGGCAGTTTAACCCGCCACCGCCTGGGGTGTATGGGCCATCGGGCCAAAATCCAATGGTGAATCAAGCTGGCATGCCAGCCGGTAGCAGCAGTGCCTCTGGAAGTGGCAGTGCATATCAGGTGCAGCAACCGGCTGGGCAGTGGAATGCTCAAACATGGCCAGGACCATGGCCTATGGCTGGACCATGGATGATGCCTCCAGCACCGGTTGCACCAATGCCTCAAGTTGCGCAGCCTATGGTCGTACAACCGCCATTTGTGATGTAACCGCAGGTTATTACGCCTGGTCCGCCATCGATCCAACCTGCAAATGTGTCGCATCCGCATGCGAGTAATCAGTCGAGCTCGGTGTAGAACARCCTGTTCTCGGACCGTTTGTCAAACTCCGGCAAAGGACCTGCTGCGAATGCATTCCCGGATCCGGGGAATCGGGCTTATTTCACTAAAGAATATATGGATATTCTGGAAGATATCAAGTCGACTAAGGTTTTGGATGAGGCTAAGAAAAAGGTGGTTGGTAATAGGCGTGGTGGTGGTGTGCAGATCATCGGGAATTCTGGTGAAAACCATGTTTCGCTGGCGAGAGCTGACGATCGGAGTGAGGAAATGAAGGCGTGGGTGTCCTCAACGCTTGGAGAATCACTAAGGCAAATCASTAAGAAGCTTGAAGCAATAGATGCTAAGGCCAGTGTTGCAGCGTCCGAAAAGGAAGAGCTTGTGAAGCTGCGTGCAGAGAAGGCGACACTTGAACAGGTTGTGCTGAACARGGTGAAGAAATCAAGTAGTGAGAAATGGAAAAGGGCGACTGCCGTACCCACTGCTCCTGTCGCGGCCACGCCAAAGTTGAGTGCTGCGAAGGTGCGATCACGGGGCAGCTCAAAATCAAGGTCACGACGAGTTGAGATCTCATCGGATGAAGATAGGGATGATGGCGTGAAACAGAACTTGGCGCCGAAAATGGAAAAGAGCAGCGATATCTTTGAGGTGAAGAAGCTGCTGACTGAGCTGGTGCAAGGATTGGTAGTGCAAAAAGGCAAGCAGCAGGAAAGTACTCCTGAGAAGGCGCATGTGCCTGAGTGCGAGGATGATGAGGCTGATGACTTGGAACTCACGCAGAAACCCATCAGTGCGGAAGAAGATGAAGCCGATGAAGATGGACTTGCGGCCTATATGAAGATGAGGCAGGAATTTTACTTGTCACTGCACTTCTCTCGTGTACAAGAGCTATGCAAGCAAAAGGGAGTCAGTTATGTCCGCAAGGACCTTGGGTCGTGGGAGCTCGCGCGTCTCGACTTATAGGAGTACGCTGATCAGCTCAAGGACGGAGCTCCGGTAACCGCTGAAGCATCAAAGAATCGGGATAACCCAGATCTCACTGATGGTGCTGATACTGGTACCGTCGCTGGTAACTAGCGACAGGGTAGCCTGCGGTCACTAAAGAGGGCGGTAACTAGGCTATTGGTTTTAAAGGAGCGTGTTGATAGTGCACTTTGCACTGAGTTGGATCGGATCCATGTCCTAATTATACTACTAGCATGTCTTCGTGGGGATCTGGCCTGGGGAAGGGTTTATGTTCGGTTTTGGTTGCGCATGTCTTGGAATGAATGGGAACAAATATTGGGTGGCACGGGGTGTGTCTATGCGATCATGTCGCTAAGTCATAAGCTTATTTATGTTGGTAAGACTGTACGATCGCTAAAGGACATATGGAGAGAACATTGTCGCGCTGTGTGTARAGGAAGCGAGCAGCGCGTGCACTCATGGCTCAGGAAAATTGGCTTGCAGCACTACGTCCCGATCCCAATTTGGTTTGGTGAACAATCGACTATTGAAGGAATCGAGGTTAAGATTATTAGAAGTCATAACCCGGGGCTTAACTCGATGGGTGCTTCGCGTGTCAAGAAGTCGCGGAGATGTCGGGGTGGTAAAAAGAAAKTGAGGGTCTACTCGAATGCTCTCGAGCCCTTACTGTTCGACTGTCCCGCGGTGAGCGCTCGACAGGAACYTGACTTATTGAGAATTCTCAAGATGATCCGGAAAAACAAATGTAAGGGTCCTGTGGTTATCACTAATAATGCTGGTTGTCAGTGGGTGACGGCGTGGAGATTGGTTAAATTGTTGTTTGGTGCATCGAAAATTGAAAGGGGGGATGGGAAGTTACTGCTGGGAGATGCTAAGGCTGAGATAGAGTGTGGGGGGAGTTGGTCTGTCACAATGTTATGCATGACTAAGACCAGGACTGAGCGGGATAAGGCCAAACTGATTTCTTTGCTGCGTGCACTATGGAAAAGGAAGGTGTTGTTCTCTTTGTCGTTGGATGAAGTATTGCAGCTGAATAGTAGTATTAAAACCATCAGTCAAAAGAGGGGGAGGCAGATTCTGAGGGGTATCCTCACCGATGTGTGCAAGAAGAGGTTTGGACTGAACCCTAGAATGAATATTACTGTCAAGATTCCTTTTTGTACGACGGTGGATAAACGGAAAGTGGATGTGACCGTGAGGAACTGGATCCGGGAAAAAGTGTTACCACCTTCGCTGGCTGACTTGTATGCAGGAAGAACGAGGACCGTGTGGTTGAAAGCCCGCTCGGTTGGTGATCTTCTGCATAACCAGAAGTCCTTCGCCCAGGCGCATAACTTCGAATGCACCTGTGCTGGACTTGACTTGCCCAGATTAAATGGGCATGTAGCGGTCAAGCTTAGCGAGATGGATAATATCCACTCGTTTCTATTCAACGCAAAAAACGTTCCTTTTTCGGGTTCAATGGAGAGTAGGAAGATGGTGGGTAGTGCCTGCAATGATGCTCTTGACGGGTTACGAAGGGCAGGCTTGGTCATGGATGAAATGCGTGTTGAGTGGCTGACAGTCACTCGAAAGGGAGAAGCGAGGCATATCGACTGCGTTCTGAGTGAGTATATGACTGGTGTTGGTCGTGTGCTTAATGGATTGGTCCTGTCCCCGCTCGATCGGAACACTAGTGAGACGTGGGTCGAGTGTCCGGTACTGTATGAGGGCGGGCTTCGGAAGATGTATCTCTGTAATGAGAACTATGAGAAGGTGGTGACTCCACCCAATGAGTTGTTGAGCGAATGTAAAACGGCTTATGAGAATGCCGACCTTCGTAAGCTAGCTGCCTGGGACCGTAAGGGCTGCTTGCAGTTTTCGTACGTGTTATCAAAGGAAAAGGATAAGCTAAGGAAACGTCCGATTGTCCCCTCGTTTGCTAGTCCTTTTCGCTCGGCATCAGGGTTGCTCTCTACTGCATTGAATGGATTGATTAAAAAGTTGAAAGTGCCACACTTTAACTTGCGCACGATTGATGATCTCAAAGGGGAGGTAAGCAGGATGAACGAATTTGGTACAAGGATGGGGCTGCACTGTGAGGTACGTACCTATGATATTAAGGAAATGTTCACGCAGCTGCCACATGATGAGATCAAAATGGCAGTATGATGGGTGGTGGATATGTTTCATGAGAGGGGTATAAAATGGATCCGGATTAACTGCCGTAAGAAGCAGTCGACGTTCGGGAAGTCTCATGGGGAAGCCGGTTGGAAATCAATCAAACTGAGTGAGTTGGTCACACTTACTGAGTTCCAGTTGTCAAATACGTTCCTCCGAGTGGGTGACTCAGTACTAAAGCAAAGGCAGGGTATCCCAATGGGCGGGAGAGTTAGTCCTCCTCTGACCTGTGTCATGTGCATGTTCTCAGAATATAAGCTTATAACATCCCTTGGGGCCGATGCTAGGTTTATCACGGGGAAGAGGTATATCGATGACCTGCTATTGGTGTCGTTTTTKAAGAAGGGTGATCYGGAACTTGCCCGRAAGGCTGGYGAGCGATTTGACTTAGTAACGCAATGTTACCCCAYGGGATTGCAGCTTGAGAGAACTGATCCAGGGAATGGGACACTGGATTTTCTGGAAACGAGACTTATTGTTGGCGGTGAACCAAGGTGCATTATCATGGCACACAAGTTCAAGAATGCAGACTCCATTTGGGGACCGRAAGGCCTGCGGTTTCGAACCTATAAGGACTTCARGTCCTTCGGGCCTACAAAAGCAAAATTCGYTACTGTGGSGAATGCCATCCTCCGAATTTCGAGGAATTCGAACGATTGGGGTGTTACCTTCCTCAATATCCTGACTCTGGCGGAGGAACTAAGGAAATTGCAGTACCCAAGCAAGGTGGTGATCGCAGGTCTAGATTGGATGAGTAGGAGAGATCCCACCCCCTTTTGGAGCCATATGGCGGCTTTCTCCCGGGTCTGGTTGGGAAAAGCTTGAAACCAAGGTGGGATGAAGCTTGCAAGCCACCTGCAGTTCAGGATTACGATCTCCGACGGGTTGCTGTACCCAGATGATCCGATTCCTGGCAAGATTGGACGCTAGTGGAAACGTGGGACGCACAGTGACAGAGGGGGAAGTCCGATATGGACAAGCCCTCGTGCGGTGCTGTTGGATATGGGATCTGGGTTTTTGGTCTGTGTAGCGCGGAAATGCCGCGGGTGTATGTAGTCAGGTTCCGGGATAATCCAGTCAGAATTCTGATCGGAAGCGCACACAGGCGGGACGACCAAGAACAACGACGGAGTAACGCAAGTCTCCGCAGGTGGATTGAGTCCTGATGCCTGGATTAATACAGTAAATGCCGATCCTGATGCGCGTGGGCAGTAGGCCAAGGAACAGGAACAGAGTAACGTTTTTTTTTTTGTTTTTGTTTTTTTTTTCTCTGCAGATGTATCGAGTCAGGGTCGTTGGATCGATCCATTCGACTGTGACTCCTCGGTGGGGCCGAAATTTTCCCGCGGATGGATTGTAATGCGGTACCGGGGTAGTTTCGCGAAAGACTGCCCTGGGTAGACCGCGGTGAGGAAAGATGTTCAGAGCAATACGCTCGGTGGTTTGAGGGTAGCGAGGAAAATTCGTATATTAAGTAGTAGATGAAAGGAATCCTCAACTTGAGTGACGTATGAGTGGAAGGGTTGAGTTTCCCTGATGGTGTTGAAGAATCAGGGGTTGTGGTGGAGAAGCTGGTGACGTCATGATAATAAAGCTCACATCATCTTCTTCGTATTCTGTGTATTTTCTTCGGATTGTGAATGAATCTTGACCATGGCCTGAGCTGAAAGTTACCATCCGTGAGGATGTCCTCGCAAGAGCTCTCTCTGCGAGAGGTGTCCGGCGTTCGTTGTGTGTTGCTTTGTCCTGGCGCTGAAGCCCGAAACGTGTCTTCGTAGTTGGTTCAGGTAGAGTCTCCGCTGTGTACATCAGGTAGACCTAAACTGAGGGTACTGCCACCGATTGAAGATCTCCAGTATATCCCGTCCGATCCTGGTAATCCCCGTTTTACCGTGAGGTAAGATACGGGGTTTAACAGTGGTGAGGTGAGGCTGTGTTTGTGTAGTGAGGTGTGAGGGCAGAGCGCCGAGAAGGGAGGGTGTGTTGCGGTATCGGGCTGCCCTTGGGGAGTCTCGCCCGATCTCAGTGAGATCGTTCCATATCCGAGGTGGAAGCAGCGAATACCTCTTACCGTCATAGCCTGGCCATGGCGGGCGGGCAGCGAGGCAGGGTAAAAACCTAAGCTCAGTGGTTAGAGCACCGGTTGGAAATGCGCACTGTGGTATAAGGTTGCGGGTTCAAAACTCCGCAGCCTTGCGCATGGACACCGGCAGGGCGTTAGAGTGACGCACGGCTGGACATACATCCCCTTGGGCTGACGCATGGTACTATTACAGACACTGCCTGCGCACCATCCAAGGGGTAGTCCTGGTTGTTGTATGCTGGGTCTTGACTATGCGTGGGTTGCTTGACGTAGCTATTGATTGTTCTGAAATTCTCCCCTGTTCTGGCATTCCATACATTGGCATCAATTCAGAACATAGCACATAAGATAGGGCATTGTAGCTACACAACACAGGGTGTGGGTTCGAGTCTGGCTAGAGACTTTGGGGCAGTTTCTTGCACAGACCGGCCCACCATTCATATGACAATACAACCCTACACATATATGTACAGAACTCAATTGGGGCTTGGTGGGGGTCCGAACTACTGCTGGGGTTGGCTGGGATCAAGGCTTCGCGCTTGTCCCTGTCCAGCCTCAGTATCTAGAACCATGGCATATACACATACATGACTGGGGGTAGGCTGGGGTTTTCAAGGCTTCGCGCTTGTCCTTGCCTGGCCTCGGTATCGAGAACCATGGATAATACACAGATAGCACGTACACAAATGACTGGGGCTGGCTGGGGCTCAAGGCTTCACGCTTGGCCCTGTCCAGCCTCAGTATCTGACATCTGTAGAAAGGAGAAACATGCCAGAATACGACACATATATAGTATACACATGCCAGAATGG